AGCTCAGGCATTTGTAAACAGTTTTATGTATCTTCTTTCCTAAAGAGTAAAATTGAATTCCTGTATGAATAAGAGCTTGCCTTTACTTCTGGATTGCACTGGACTATGCCAGATGTGTGGTGTATGTACGTAGTGCAAGCCAATGGTTAGCACTCAGATTTGAAGCTCTTCAGTGATATTCAGTTATGCTTTAAATTCAGAGTTGCCTTGTCTCATCCCAAGAGATACTCTGCTAGGCTCTGGCCTAGTTCTGTAGTCTTTTAAGCTGTTATGGGTTTTAGTGGGAATCTGATTTAAGAAAGGATTGCTAGATTTATCCTGGAGATTCTAGTTACCTCATAGCACCTAATGGGTTTCATGTGTAGAGCTGCTCCTGGCTTTTGCTGTGTTAGACAGAGTACAGGGAGGCTGTGCTGGAATATGAGTAGTCTGAGTAAATTTTTGAGAAAAGCTGTTCAGAGGAAATGGGATTGTAATTTCAAGAATAAATTATTCATGAAATATGTATGTACTAGAACTGCTTTCCTTGAAATGCATAGAGAGAGATTTGACCACTGAACTGCTGCTTTTATATATCACATCAGGGACTTCTTTTTATGGACAGCTATGATTTTATGTGAATTATAAGACAGAGTACCCCAAAGAGGAAGCAGATACTATTGCTCTGTCCCAGGGGCTCGCTTGAGTCTTCTTGCGAGCAGGCTCCTATTTTTCCCTAAGAACAGACTTCTTACACCAAGTTTCATTTACTCTTCTACGTTCAAGAGGAAACGTGCTATCTGAATTATTGTATAATGGAGATTTTTTTCCTTCCTTCAACATTTTTTTTAATCTCAAAAATGTGGGGGAAAAATGGGCTTCTGCCTCTTTATGTTTTTGGGTTCTGAGTTCTAGTATTGACTTATTTGTGTCACTTCTGCATTTCCCCCCCTGCCCAAAGGTGGAAGGAGGTTTCAGTTTTTTTCCATGATAAATTCAGGTCCCATCTACTGCAGAAGGTTCTGTGGGGAATCAGTGCTTTTGTGTACTTTAGGAGAGAGCTGATCTCACTGTTTATACAGTGCCTAGTACAGTAGGACTGGAAATTCGAATGGGGCCATTAGACTCTACCGTGGTGCCATCAGTTATTTTAGAGGAGACTTGCAGAGGCACTGCAGGCAGCTGGGACTTTCAGCAGTCCTGAAAGTTAATGAAATTGGTCTAACTCTCTCTTGTGCTGTGAAATAGGGGTATCATGAGACCAGAAGCTGGAAGATGATTGACTGAAAGGTCTCTCAAACTTTCCATTTAAGTCAGTGTATTAGTGGGAAACAAGAAGTCTATTAAGAAGCTGTCATTCCACCCACCTCCCTTCAGCTGAGGTGGAAGTGCCAGTGCTGTGCATATTACCTGAGGTGCTGGAAAAGTCCTCTGGAGAATCTCGTTTTGAAATTACTGGCAATACTAATATCAAAAGCAAAAGGAAAATAGCAAGAGGAGGTTGGGAAGAGCAGTTTGGGGTTGGGGGAGTTCATTATTTCCGAGAAGGAGATTTGTAATTGGTATCTTCATTGCATGTGACGAGGCGTGAGCATGTCAAGTTTTAAAAGAATCTCTCTTTTGTTGGATTAGATTTTTCTGGTCACTTTCCAGAAACCGAAATCCCTTCTTTACAGCCTGAGGCATAGGTTCTTTTTGGTATTCCTTATATTAATATCCTGTCAAGTTGAGTTTGCAGGCTTGGTGTCCTGGACAGGTTGGAGGCAGGTGTCACATCCTGTGGGTTTTATTATGTTTTTAAATCTGCTGGTAAATGTTGTACAGGGAAAATATGCTCTTCCTTCCTTCCTTAGCTCCTTGCTGTCTAGCCAGGTGACTCTTCTTGCAGACACTGTCTTTATTGTTAACTGAATTAGGAGGGGGAAAGCATTTATCTGAACTGGAGCTTCATCCCAAGCAAACTAGTTTACAGGAAGGGTAATGCGGATAAAACCTTCCCTAAGTACCTGTTTTTTCCATGCCTTTCTGTTACATAGGCGTGACGCTTATCTCTTTTTCCCTCAAAAAGATAAGGCAATGTTAAAAATGTTATTCATGAGCTTTTTGCGTAACTGGAGTTTTAGACATCTTCCCTCAGGGACCAGTAGAGTAGATTTGCATCCTACTGAGTTCTTCTGGAATACTGAATGTTCTGCAGCATTAAAGCTCCCACATTTGTAAGGACTTAAGGAAACACATATCTTTTCCAGCCTATGCAACTTGCCTTTTAGATGCATCTGCTTGACATATTCAATTCCAGTAAGCTGTATTACCACAGAAGAAGCCCAGCTCTCAGCTGCATCCTATTTCTCAAGATGGAAAAGCAACAATGGCAGATTTTTTTTTTTTGATCAGTGTAAAACCTTATAGGGCTTCCTACCCCTCTCCCCCAAAACCTAGTGCTTTCAGTATTATGTATTTTTAAAGAATCTTTTCTACTGTTTTTAACAGTGTTTACTCTGAATTTCTAGCTACTAAAAACCAGCTTGCAGATAAAATTCTGGACTTGTCATATGCTGAATACATCCAGCTTTGTGACGAGGGTTGTGTACTGTAAGCAAGTTACAATGCAATGCTATGTTTGCTAAAAATCACAGCAGGAGTGTTGTAGAAAATCAGTGCATGGTTTGTGACAATTGTAATATTTATTCAAATAAATAAATGATGATCACTTGTTTTTCTACATCTTTTTTTGGGCTAAATGGACAAGTCTCGGGGAATAACTTTTGAAGGATGGGCTTCCTACAGGGTCCTACATGTTTGTTGATCTGTGTAAGGCCTTGTAAAGCAGTGATTATTGATTTCTGGCACTGACAGAGCAATGAGATGTCCATGCAGACACTAACGAGCTTGTCTGTAGGTTTCATTGTTTTTTTTTTTTTTTAATATTGCACTGCTACTGGACATGATCCACTTCTTCACCTTTTCCTTTCCTCAAGAGGAAACTACCTGAGTTACACTGTCTGAAGTCTGCAGAAGAGTAGAGGCTCAGTCCTTCCGCAGCAGTGTGGAGGAAAGCCGGGCATGCCAAAGCTGGAGTCTTGGAGTGTCTGCAGAGCAGCTGGGAAGCCAGAAGCCCACGTTTAAGTCTGGAAGACCATTGAAAATGCCTCTGGGTTTTCCTTTTGTCTGGTATGGAGGGAGCAAAGATGGCTGTCTCACAGAGTCCATAAAGCAAGGCCTTGTGGAGAACCAAGAAAATGCATTATCAAAACTTGTTAATGGTGGGAGTACCACTGATTCCTTGAATTGTTCGTTGGCTGCTTCTGTATGAGTGCCAGGTGTGCGAGGGTGTGTTGTGTGTGCGTGAGGTGTGCTTTGGGAGTGTATGGGGAAGAGCTGGGGTGGGGGGTGAAATGAGGATAAAATCAGATGCGATTCTGACACACTTTAGTAATGCTCATCTACAGAAGAGTGGGTACCTGATGCACTGGTGACAGCATCACTTCTTGAAGGAAGACGAATACTTGTGCCTCCTGTATTTCAGTCCCTTGTTCTCCTAGCGCTGCGGAGCTGTTTTGTGAACGAGACTTTCAAGGAAGAAGTTAGCTGAGCTCCCAGTGCAATTAGGGAGAGACCTAGTAGTTACAGATCAATTTCCCACCTTTTAATTCTTTCTGTTCCCTCTACCTGCGGATATGAAAGTGGATTTGTCAAAAGGTCCCCATAGCATCTTGGAATATACCTTCGTTTTGTTTTTCCTCTCTGCATGCCTAGGCTGCAGTCATGCGCTCCTACAGAGGTAAGGTGCTTTAGAGCTTTTCTAGCCTGATGCAGTGTCATTGCCCTTTGATCCCTGGATCAAGGATTTTGGGTTAAGTTCTCCTTTGCTAATAGTTCATGGCAGCTGGAAATCTGTCTTCAACCCACTTTCATTTATCCCATTTAGCTCATTTCCATGCCGATTTATCAATTCTTGTCCGGGCTATGGAGCTAAACGCAGGAGTCAGTCCCTTAATAGCATTACAACAGACCAGTGTAATTAGTGTGGCTGTTTACTGTCTCATTCTGGGATTTCATGAGGGCTGTAGAGTTACTTTTCATCTCAGGAAGAGCTAACAGCTGCAACTGGTACTTGGAAATGTCCAGTGAAAATGCTTGCTGCTCTCTAATGAGTGATGGAGAAGGCAAGGCAGAGCGGCAGCACTGCCTAGTGGACACAGCACTCATCTCAGATGCAGTTCAGGGCCCTACCTTGGTGTGGCTTGCTAGCTGGCTACGGACAGATCAGTCACCCTTTGACCAAGCTGCTCCTTCTAGCAGCTAGGAAGAATAGTGTTGATCTGCATTGTAAAATGCTCTAAAGACCATGAGTAGAGGGTGTAATGTAGCATGATGACGTTGTTAGTGGGTTTTTTTTTAATTATATGCAGAGAAAATGAACACTGTGAGTTGCCCCAAGGATGTGCAATAGCAAGCAGTCATGCTGTGCAGTACTACGGAAGAACGATTGTATCTTCCCAATACTTTTTGTTATTTCAAGGAGTTGTGGGGACGCGTGTTTCCTCCGTTTGTATTTCTGTTTATTTTTGTCTCCATTAGGGACTAAGCACACAGACAATTGAGTTCCGGATACTGCCGTGGTTTCGTTTTTAAGGGTAGCCAGCACTGCGTGGTGCAACTTCCCTCTTGCGTTTTCTGTGAGCTTTGAGCTGCCCTGCATGGGAGACTGCAGCTTCGGCACAAAACTGCTGAAACCTCGGTATCAGTCTCATCCTCTGATCAACTGCATATCGCTTGCTGGGAAAAGATCTTGGAAGATCTGGAGAATTACTAAAGCAGAGAGCAGTAAGTTTGGGAAAGGGACTTCTTTTGGGTTTAATTTTTTTTTTTAATGTAAAACTTTCTGCATCCACGTGGATTGTTCTTGCTAGAACAACACCTCTTCTGAGGCTAACGAGCAAAAATGGCACTTGAAACGTCTAGTGCTCAACAAGGAAGTAAAAGTAAGTTTTAAACTGGGTATGCAATGTATGTTCTCTTTTTTTTTTTTCTCGTTTGTTTTTTTAATTCTGGTGTGCTGAAGGAGCAACATTAACTGACTTTCCCCGTTTGATTTTTGTTCCCTCCTCGGAGTGATCTAATTAGCAAACTCTTCTTAGGAAACGTGTTTGAGCTAACGTGGAGTAGGGCTTTTTGTCTTTTTCAAACAGGAAATAAAACAGTTGAAGCAACTTGGTAACATTAGCTGAAAAAGTAAGTACCTTGTGTATAGCCTACAGTTAATTTATCTGTCAGAGACCACTGTAAGCATGTGAATGGTTCTATCAGGGATGTCTGGGAGCCAGACTGCGTGAAGACTCAGAGAGGATCTGACCTACTTGTAGAACTGATTATTTTATCAGTAGTTGTTGATTGCAACATTATGCAATAGTCTAGCTCTTGGCCTAGCAAAAACTGACTTGTTGGCTACCTCAGCAGGTGACATAGGAGAAATACAACAGCTATTCACTTAACAACAAACAAGCCTGTACATCTATGACATTGCATCCATAACAGAAAATACAGGACCAAATTATGCCATTTCATTTGAAGAGTCAATAAGTAAACCGCTTAAACGTTGTTTAAGAATTCCAGCAGGAAATCCCACTGCAATCAGTGTTCAAGCAGTTGTTTCATAAAACAATCTCTTCTCCAAATACTGATAAATAATGCATGCAGAAGGATGAAGGCCAGAGAAAATAGCATGTTAGTAACGGTTGTGAATAGCAAATTGGAAAAGCTCAGCTTCAGCAAATGTGCAGGCTTGTGAGGGAGACACAGATCTTCCATCCCTTCCTGCTCCTCAACAAACAGCTAAGCTAAAAGAGTCCAAAACCAGGCGTGTTCTGTTTTCTGTTGTTTGTGCAGTTCGTTGTTATTTGAAAGGCTGCTGTCTAGGATCAAGCCTCACAGAAATGAAACTTGCCACATGAGGGACTGCTCTAGAGTGCTAATTATTAATAATAAGGAATGAATTTATTACATGCTAAGAAATTGCAGTTCTCAGGCTCTGAAATGGCTGTTGGAAATCAGTGTAGGTAAATGTGAAGTGAAACACATGGGGAAAAAACAATCCCAGCTCTACGGATAAATGATGGACCATGAGCTGACTGTTGCTATTCAGGAATAAACTCTTGGGGTTATAATAGATAGCTTCATGAAAGTGTCAGCCCTGGGCTCAGCAGCGATCAAAAAGCAAAGTGAATGTTAGGAATTGCTAGGAAAGGAAGGCACAACAAACCAGAAAACATTACAGTGCACCTCTCTAAATCTCTGCAGCTCTGGTTCCCAGTAGTTCAAAAAGGATGTAATTGCACGGGGTAAAGTTCAGAAAAGGGAGATGAGGTTGATGAAAGGTTTGCAATGGTTTCCCTGTGCCTGTTCCCTTCTTCCCCAGCCTTGGGAAGAGAAGACTGATGAGGATCTATGATAGAAATGTAGAAAATGTTGCTGTTGCGTAGTAGCATGAAGTAGAAACACACAGTGAGGTGAAGAGTGTGGGTCAGTTGTTCTCTCTGACCCTGGGAGTGGTGGGGAGCACCATGGGCATGGACAGATGGCGGGTTCAGACCAAGGGAAGGAGGTGGGTCTTCACGTAGATGTAGTTAAGCTCTTCAGCTCCTTGCTGCTGAAAGGTGAGAGATTATGTGTATTCAAGGGGCAGTTGAGAAGTTCATGGGAAGTAAATCCATTGACAGTTACTAATTGCAAAGACACCAGCTTTGAGTTGGGAAGTCTGAGCTGCGGGATGTTGAAGCTCGCGAGAGTGTCTTAGGGAAGTGTCTGTATATACTTGCTCTGTTTACTTTTTTTCCTAACCCTCTGCTTTTGGGTGCTGCTAGGGCCTGGATACAGGGCTAGATGGACATTTTGTCTCATCCAGTTTGGCTGTTTTGAGTGAGTAGGCCACACAGCCTTGGAGTAGGTTAACTTATGTTATTGCAAATACTTAATTTTAGGCCTCTTCCTACAGGCTTCCAAATTTTAAAGAGCAGCTTCTAATGTTTGGGTTCCTTGGCCAAACAGAGGCCAAGGATATGGCAGACAGTGCATGTTATTTTGATGCGTAATTACTAAACGGATGTGTAAGAGATATATAAGTTGAATATTGCAGCAAAGCTGAGTTAGTGTAAGTCGTGGTTTACAGTAGACTGTTACGTTAGAGTTATGAGCGGGACTTTCCGACACATAACGGTTGTCAGGAACCTGATTTAGAAGTAAGTTGGACTGAGGTTGCTCTGTGTTGATTGCCTTTCCCCTCTCAGTTCAGTTCATCTGGACAATCTCATTTCAGATAGTTCCGTTGCTCCTCAGGCACTAAATGACTCAATTTTTCCTCATTATCTTACTTTGCCAACCACCTTTTTAGAGACAGCACTCAGTTTTGGAGCTGCCATAATGAAACAAATTCTCTCATGGCCCTTCCCTCCTCAGGTTTACTGAGAATTTTGTACCTAATGTGTTTTGCCAGACTGGTATGCAAAAACATTTGATCACTACTTTCCACCAATATTCCCTCTCCAAGAGTGTTTGGCTTGGCAAAGTCTGTGTTAAAATACAACACATGTTCATAATGCACTTTGACTGGAGCCTTTAAAAAATATGTGAGAGAGTGGCACCATGCTGTTTGGAGTCTGAAGCTATCACAGAAAGAAATATCACTTCGTAGATCTTCTCTGGGTGATGTGCACCAACATTTGCATCAAATTTGTTGCTCCAATATGCTTACAGGGCTGGATATTTACAACATCTAACTTCAAGCACCTGTGTTAGCAGCCTAGACTGTCTTTTTGATAACAGAGTGAGGGAGATAACGCAAGCCAGAGCAAGACCTCCATTTAAGTGCTCTGGATTGCTCCTTAGAGGTGCCTGTCCATGTTCACTGACTGCACAGGGAGCCTTGGGAGACACAGCTCCTAAGCCAGGCACCTCGGGTCAACAGTATGAGCCTTCTCCTGTGTGAACCTCTAACACTGGGCATCTCATTTTCATTTAAAAAAGAACAAAAACAGTTAGCTTCCCCTCTCCCGTAGTGGCCCTGCAGCACTGAACCTTAGAGAAGGCAGTGCATTTCCTTTCCATAGGCTGTAGCATACCCAGCTGGGGACCAGAGCAGTAATCCATACCACGGGGTACCATGCTTCCAGCCACAGCTGGGATTTGATGAGCCAGAAGTATGTAAAAAGTGTTTCTGATCAACATATTGTTGTCTCCTCTGCTGTGTTTTTTTTTTTTTCTAGATCATTAGATTGCCAGGGAAGCTGAGGCTCTTATGTGTATTTGTAGACGCTACTGTGACACAAACCACATGCTACTGAGATTATCCGTGGCTCAGGGTCGCGATTGTTCTGTAGCTCCTTTTGCCTCTGTAGGCAATCATTTATATGTACATTATATAACTCTGATTACCTGCACTTAAATTAACTTACCTTTGGTTTAATAAAGAGCCACCCTACTTTTGCATCATAATGCAAATAGATAAGAGATGAACGTCCATTCCATGGTTGGTAGGACAGTGTGTATGAACGATTATGGACTCTGTCCAGTCTGCTCCGACTACTTCATTCTTTTCTCTGCCTTCTCTGCACTCTCACATGACTCCTAGCCATTTTGGAAAACATCACCCATAGTTTTATGTTTGTTGACAAGATATTTTGACCTATTTGTTGTGTATTGTCATTGTGCTTTCATTTGAGGACATCTGTGTTGGGAAGGAAGGTTCTCCAATCTGTATTTAAAATAAAAAACCTTGAGAAGTCATGCAGCCTAATTAACTAACATCAAGACAGATCTGTGTACCGAGAAGCATGTCCCTTTTTTTCCCACAATTCTGCCAGCTGGTCTAATAAAAGATACTGCTTTTATTTAGTAACTTTTCTCAGTAATATAACTACTGCAGTCTTGAGTTAATAGTTCTGAAGGTCATTTTTATAACAGATACTCATTGATACCTAGAAACTAAAAGCTTTTTCATTTCAGTTGAAATAAGATTTTGCTAATCTAATGCAGATGAAATAGAATTAGGTGGAATTAAGGCATTCCGTAGTACTGCAATGCCTTTCCCCCACATTTTAGTGATTAACAGCAGAAAAGGAAACCCCTTTTTAACTTTTCAGGATTTTTTAAAATAAGTCATCCACAAGTCATGCTATAGTAACTGAAAAAAACCCTTCTGTTTGTTTGCTTTCTTCTTGGCACTCATTGTGATCTTAACATGCTTTTGCTAATGTTATCTTGTCCTGCAATATTTTTTTAACAGCTAACCAGGAGTGAAAAAAAGACAATGGATCCAGACTTTCTAAATGTGTTTACACTGCCTGTTGCACTTGATCAAGTTGGGGCTGAAAATAACATTGCTCAAGGTATGTGCTTTAGGAACCAGGACAGAAAAAGGTCGAAGGACTGACCTAAAGAACTAAGCGGTACAAATGAATTATATTCTTTTTTCTAGCAGTGCTTCCAGGTTTAATCAGCTATAAGTAAACTCCTAGTGCGTAATTTGGTCTCTGACTCTCTAGAGGCAAATCATGAATCAGCAATATAAGTTTTAGCTGATCCCTTAACTGAAACTTAAACTTCATATACAAGGATCTACCCATATTTGTTTCTTTATTTCCAGAATTGTTGCCTGGATCTTGATTTGAATTCCATTGCAACGTAATTTCTGATTGCAGTTGTAATACTCTCATGTACCATCTTCTCCTTTCTAGGAAATCTGTTAAAATCAAAACTGTTTCTACATATCGCACTTGGTGATACTGGCTATTATTAAATTGATAGCAGATTCTATTGAAAGCTTGCATTAGTCATATCTGATAGTTATAATGGATTTTGTTTGCTTCCTTTTGTAGGAGAGAAGAGGAAACTTATAAAACCCACCTCACACAATAATCCCAAATTGGAAGAATTAAAACTGGTACCACTTATTTTACTATATTGTTTAAGCCTCACCCCAGATTGTTTTAACCTCTTGTGGTAGTGCTCAGCCATGTAAATAACCAGCCTCTTTGGCCCCAGTCCCACACTCTCTAAGGACATAGACTTGATGCCAGAAGTGCCCCGTTACTAGTTCGTTGTAACTATAGTGTAATAGCAAAGAGAATGGCCATGGTTGAAAGCAAATCCATGGTAACTTCCCTGTTACTAAAGGCTGATATTCTGATACATGCAAGTTTACTATCCTGATCCCATGATAGCAAGTCTTTGGATTGCCTCCATGCTGATTTGCAACAGTTTTCTGTCCTGTCTTCTACTTTCCGTCTGCTGCTTACCAGTGGCAGCTGGCGTTGGGAAAGCCGTGATGCCTCCCAAGTAGGATAACGAGAGAGTGGAGACAGAAGGGACGAAGGGTCTGCAAGTCAGCACTGGAATTCAGGAGGACAGCTTGCAAAATCGTTGTATGGTACTTTGTCTGCTTGAGGTAACTGAAGGATGAAGCCTGTTTCACAGGAGAGTGCTTTATTTCCAAGTAATTTTGAAAATATCCCCTGTGCATTCAATCACCCTATTTTTCTAATGTCACAGCCCAGAGGAAGGTTAGCATACTGAAATTTCCTGGAAGAAAAGTGGCCCGTCTCTTTTGAGACCAGCACTTTTTGCATTATGGAGATACTAAAATTGTTATAAATATTAAGAAAACAAGCTTAGATTATGTGCTAATATGTGTATATATGGCAGTCATAAATCCATAAAGGTATGTGTTTATGATGTTTTCTTAAACCTTCATGCACACTCAATCAAGAAGATTTAATTTTTATGTCAGGCTCTCACAATATTTTTATACAAAAGAGAGATTTTGAAAGGTAGTATTGCAAAATGCAATTATATTGTCTACAGAGACACTGAATATGTTCTTTTCAGACTGCCAAGAATAAAGAGATTTCCTTAGTTTATGAAGATTTCCGTGAGCTTCAGTGTTTAATCCATTTCCTATCAGAGTCTCTTGAAATAATGTTTTTTTACCCTCTAACTTCTCTTCTGTGGAAGATGAGGAGGTGCGATTTGGGACCTGAAGGAGGGGCAATCTCCTGTGTGCCTGTCAGTGCCACCAATTCTCATCTTGATCTAAATAAAGGGTTCACAGGTCCTTTAGAGAAGAGATTATGATGGGGGGCACTGAGTTATCTTCAAGGGAAGAATAAGGGAAGCAGAGAAAGTCATTTGAGAAAGATACTGCATTCCAGTGCATTTTGATCTTGAGGTGGCTTTTGGGAGCTAGGAAACATGAACGGTCAACTGGCTTGCTGTAGTTGTTATAAATATCAAACTGCAGGTAAAATACAAGCTGGTTACAGTTAGATGCTAGTAGCAAACCTCTTTTTTGTGTATCCTCTTTCTCCTTTCCCTGCTTCCTCCTTTTTACACGCAACTGGCTGATCCACAGCTGAATGGGGCTCAAATAACTGGACTTAAAACAGAGTTGTCTCGGCTGCAGGCTGTGGTCATCGCTGTTAGGAGCTGAGGCAGCAAACAAGGAATCTCATAAATCTGCACTTCGCAGTGCGGTTCATTTGACTGTACCATTCCTTTGAGGGTACCAGTGTATCCCTTGCAAATCTAAAGCATCACCAGTACTTGAACAGTAAGCGTTAGCTGAGGAGCACAGCTTTTTGCTCTAGAAAAGTGCAAGTTCCTTTTTAGCTGAGGAAGTGTATTTCGAACACTTTCACAGCTTCTCAGTTCAGGGAAGTGCCAGAACAAGTCATTCTTGTCTCTTGTGCAGTTTCAAGCATCCCAGAGATTTTTTTTTAACGGACCACTTTTTATATTTTTATTACCTTTGGCTAGCCCACAGGGATCTGCTGCGAATTCTTTCCTCTATTTACAGTGAGTAGGAAGGCTATTATCCACAAAACAAACTCCAAACACTCACCTGTAGCAATAATAATAGCAATACCAGCAATAATAGCCTCCTCTTTCTGGAGGTTCTTGCTAATAGCCAGCTGGGGCCAGTGCTTTTCAGTTCCGCTTCAGCCTGTGGACTTTGTGCAGCCAGTCAGTCATCAGTGCTCAGAAGACAGGCTGATCGTCACCCTTTCCTGTAGGGTCTCGCAGCTGCAGTGTGGTTAGAAACGGCAGCGGTGTCTGAATGCTAATCCCCCTTCATCAGCTCGCGTTGTGAGAGGCGGTGAAGAGGGATGAAGGAATCACTAGCACGGATTGAGGGACTACGTGGGGAGGAAGTGTTTTCCTCGGATAACGCCCTCGCCACAATTCTTCCCCCGATAGCTGCTGTTGATAGCAGTAAGTCTGACAATGCACGGTGAATGTGCTTCCAAGGGTCTCTGCTTGGTTACAGGATCATGCTGTATTGGAATATTAATCCTGGTCCTTTTTCCTTTATGTTAGCATATGTAGGCAAAGAGTGCGCTTAGGGAAAAGCTTATGGATTCTTCTGGACTTGTGTGTATGAGCGCAGGGCACGAGGGTCTGGCTGCAGAGAAAAAGGAATGTAACTGGGAGCACGAGTCCTGCTCAGTTGCAGCCACCCCTTGGCTTCCTAAGCAGTTTCCCCTTGCACAAGTAGGAAGAATAATGGAAAGAGCAATGAAAGGAATGTCACGTAAGAAAATGAGGGGAGAAAGAGTCCCCTTCTATCCCCCCTCCAATAATTTGGAGAGAGAATAGTACAAAATTGCAGAAAGAAAAAGAAAACAAAAATAGGAGAGAAAAGGCAAGAGTGCTAGTTATATGAATGATTGCAATAAACAGCAGAACGGGTGAAGCCTCTTTCCTCATGAACTTTTGTCTCAAGGGAGTGTGTGTGTGTGTGTGTGAAGGTGCAACATGGAACAGCACTGAATATAGGTTTAAACAACAAGAATACAGTTGTCCACTGCTTTCTTTTCCTCTACAGTTATTGATTGACTGGATTAACACAACTCTGAAGCAGGAACACATAGTAGTCAAAAGTCTGGAGGAAGATTTGTTCGACGGACTGGTACTTCATCATCTTCTGGGTAAGCTGCCTTTTTGAGTTTAGTTCCCAAGAAAATCAAGCAGGAACTTTCTGATCAAAGGATAAACATCATGACTTGGAATAGTAGTAGGGCTGCTGGAATCTCACTGCTCTTTAATGGAAAAACAGAAGCGCACTATGAACAACTGGTGATTATTGCAATTCTGAACAAATGCCTGCTGATCGTTTATTGTTTTTATATAGTTACTTTTTCTTCTTGTGATGTTACCAGAAACATGGGATGGAATCAGCACTGAAATTTATATGTTTTTTTCTGCTTAAAAAAAAATTTAGGCCTAAAACACTGGACTGGAACCAGAGCCGATGAAAAATTCTAAGAGGCTCTCTTCATTTCAGGGGGCTTATATGAAGATGTGACTGCTGGAAACAGCCTTTTGGTCCATTTCTATCTCTCCATCTCGCCTGTCTCTACTTTGCTGTTTTTCCCCTTTCACTTTCCTCAAGGATGCTTTCAAACTGTATCTCCTTTTCATCAAGGCTGAGGACAGTAGTGTGGGTAAAGTTGGCTTAATTTCCTAGATAAGTTGCCCAGCAGTGGGTTGGGATTTCTTCTATTTATGTGCGCTGATATGGCCTTTGTGAAGTGATCTGCAGGGAAGGTCCACTCACTGTGTTCCTGTAGCTGCCACCAGGAAAACAAGGAACACCGTGTGCTAGGGTTGGGGAGTGATGCTGTGAACAGTGACTTGAGTCCCACCTCCGTTGCAGAGCTTCACTGATTTTTACTGAGGCTTTTGGAGAGCACAGAAATTTAACAAGGCATATGCAGCTGCAGGATGTGGGTCTGTGCTATGGAGGCTATTAAGCGGTATGAGGCATTTAAAGCAAGACTTTGTGTGCTTTGCTGTGATTTTATGGTTTTGTCCTTCTTCTTCATATGAAGAAAACCTAGGATCCCTCAAGCTGGATGTTGACAAGATTGCATTAACAGAAAAAAAACAGCGACAGAAGCTCTCTGTGATTCTGGAAGCTGTGGCTAAGTGTTTGCAGCTGGAAGAAAATCAGCTGAAATGGAGCGTGGAATGTAGGTGCAGAAGAGAAATTGGAGGGAATTACCCATGCCAGGGTGTCCTCTGCTATAAGGCTGCTGTGAGGCAAAGGAAGTTCTTGGGATTAGGTTGCCACAACAGGAATTAAATAACATTTCAATTACTAGTTGAGTTGCAAATCAGACAGGAATATCTGACCAACACTGAGTCACGCAAGCTTCATTCTCTAAGTGTGTGGACCACTCTCTAGGTTATGCACTGCTTGCAGCCCTCCGCATCCTTGTGTATGTCTCGCCACATGTTAAGTTGTGGTACTGCTTATTTGTGATATTATATAACCCCCAATCTGATGTCCCACATGTGATATGGCCTTCCATGACTTGGGATCCCCTGCACAGGGAAAATTTAGGTTATTACGGTGAGACTGAATTGCTTTGCATGCTAAACATTATGTTCTTTCTTTATATGGAATAGCTATCTTGACAAAGGACTTACTGAGCACGCTGCATCTTTTGATTGCAATAGCAAAGCACTTCCAACCCAATCTGGCTATTCCTCCAAATGTTCGAGTGGAAACAATCACTATTGAGGTAATTACAGTTTTTATATTTGTTACTATGGATCACAGAGACCTTTCACAAGACTTAGTTTGCTTAGAATTAGGGAGAAGGGTGGGTATAGCTGTAAAAAAGATACTTTTTTTTGCTTTCGGTGAACTACACCTTTTAATTTCCAGGAATTTGTTTGTTGTTCTAAACTATCACTTTGTGCTCAGTTCAGATGCTGTATCTTCAAAAGGGCAGAAACACTCTGCTCTCTCCACTCCTTGAGCTAAAAAAGGGTCCAAATTGAAAACAGGTGTTGATCTTTGTAAATTAAGAAAAATGGAACAAATTTAGTTTTTGCTACCTCTAAGTGTTTTAAAATAGACACCTGCACTCTTAAATCATGACATTTGTTTAATGCTAAGCATTTCTTTCTTTCGGGGAAAGGAGTTTTTATTGTCTGTCCAGGTCACATTTTGGTATTTTTCTCTACAAGCTGAGATCTACATGCTTTCTTTCTCTGCCTTGTTTCTTGAGGTCAATGCTGAGATTCACATGTGATTCTATGTCTCTGGGACTTTAGGAAAACATCACATTTCCCACAGTTTTGTCACACTTTTAACAAACAGGTTGCAATTTGGTCATGTTGTGAGCCCAGCACACAGTCTGTATGCCCATTAGCTAGCGCTCTTCCCTCTTTGAAGTATCAAAACTGGGGCTGAAATGGTGCATGTGCTTAAGCTACATACTTGACTTGGAGAGGATTACAAACATCCTGGAGGGATAGCCTCTTCTGGGACTGGATTCTGCCAAGGTAGCCATTTTGGCCCCCTCCCAGCCTAGCACTTAAGCACATGAGTAGCGTCTCTGATTTCTAATTGGAGTCTAAATTGCACATTGCTGGGTCAGAGTCGGAAGCTCATGTAGTGTGGTCTGCTTAGTTACAATTCAGCCTGTTAGTAAAGCAGGCCGCTGTGCAGTTCCTTACTTGGTTGTGGGGGCCTCAGCCACTCTGAAATCGGGTGGGATCATTTGCGAAAGCACAGCCTCGGAAATGGATATTAACTCTGAAGGAAAGACAAATGGCAGTGGAGGTAACATGGGTGATGGGTGACGCCATAGGTTATGGTAGCGAGCCAATTCTTAAGAGAAATTAATGCGCTTGAGGGGGAAAAGAAATTGTTAAAAGTGAGGGAAGCCCATGAAGAGAGGGGTTCAGAAGAGGGGCAGAAAAACTGTAAAAGTGTTTGAGGGCAGGAAAGGGAAGAAGCAGAAGAGATGGGTGAAGGGCCGGCCTTCCCGTGATGCGGGTGGGCAGCAAGGGCCTGCCTTTGTCCTGGCGTGCTGGATGTGCTCGCTGCCCGGGAGAGCCCGCAGCAAGTGGGGAGTCAGCAGTCACAGCTGCAGGAAGAGCCTGGAACATCTCCGCAATGTATTGACCCAAAACACTTGACTCAAGATGTAAAAAGAGAATGGGTTTCACTGCCTATAAGGGGAGACAAGCACCAAATACTTCCCTATGGAAGAGACACTGCTCAAGTGCCTGAATAAAGCAGCAGGCGTATGCAGGCATGCTCGTTCTCTCCTGCTTCTTCTGACTGTCAGTTGAGTTGTTAGTCACCTGTGATAACTGAAAGATGCACTGTTTTTTGATAGTGTGTGGGATACTCAGGTCTATACAAATGGTTAGAGCTGAGGAAAAAGGGGCAAGGGCACAAGCAAAGATCCCAAGTAGCTTCAGCAACAGGCAGAATTGTCATCCTGTGTCTAAGCAGGCCTCCAAACTGAAAGTCCCTGTGGAGGAATTCATAGATGGGTGGCAGGCTGAGCAGTGAGGTCCTTCTACAGCAGAGGCGACCACCTCCAGGGCTGTAAAATTAAAGGTTCCTTAACGCAGTGAGCCGCACAAAGAGATCACTGTGGGTTCAAGTCTGCCCAAACCAGCTTAGCACGGACATCAGCCATCCGAGCTAACGAGCCAGCCCCTGGATGTCACCAGCTGAGGGACCTCGGGCTTTTCCCTTTGCTTTCTCTTATGGGGAAATGGGTAATTTCTGGTTGAAGAGTGAAGAGAGCAGAAGGGAGCAGCAACCTCTTAAAGGGCCTGCACTAATTTTACTGATGTTCTTGAGTAAATGCCCTCTGGTAAGTGCTTATGGCACCAAACAGGTCGTGAAGGTCTCCTTACTGCTCTCAGGTTGTTTGTGAAACAGGAAAATATTTGTTGTCTGTTTAACAGAACACCTCCAGGGGATTAAAGACAGAAACTGCAGTGGAATATATCACCGATATCAAGTAAGAGGGGCATATATATTAGCTTTTACACTGTGAATCAGAAAGGAAATGTGAGTGGGGAGGTTCTCCCTTAAAAGAAAGCTAGGAGCGTGATGACAGTGCGGGATGATAACACCCAGGAATGCAAATGTGTATAAACTGTTTTGGGTTTTCTTTTTTTGTTCCCCTGCCCCAACTAAAGTATTATGGTCTAAGGCATTATAGTCTAAGACCTTTTTTTGTTCCCCTGCCCCAACTAAAGTATTATGGTCTAAGGCATTATAGTCTAAGACCTTTCTGTTTTACTCTTTATTTAAACTCCTCTAAAAGAATGTCTATGAGCTTTTCTGAGGTTTAGTGTTTGTTATTGCTGTATTGGAATTAGTGCCTGAAGTAAAGGCACTAATCAATCCTCATTAGGTTTTACTGGTAGTAGTAAAACCTAACAAAGATAATAGTAAAAATCCAGTATTGTACGTTTACGTGCCCAAGACTAATTGGAAATTGTGTAAATCCACAGGGGTTTAAACCTACTAACAATTTATTGCAATTGTGTTATTAATTTAAGAAAAAGGCAGCAGTTTTTCTTTATTTTACTGCTGAACAACTAAGCTTTGAGCTTGCTGAGTTTGTGAGGTGCTCTGATTATTAAATGAGTTGCATAGAAGGATACCATTTATACACAGAGTATGGACGTCTTTCCAAGAATTAGAAACAGATTTTCCTACTATCGTCTTTTATAGGCAGAACATCTTTAAATTTTAATATCATGAGGAGCTTATTGGAAGAGGATATTATGGGTTATGCTTATAAAATAAATGTTTATTGGTCTGTGTGCCAGTTTTAAAATGTTATCTACTTCTAAGTGCCTGTACACATATACAGCATACTTAAAAATGTCTGTTGGAGAGTTACTTTGACGTAAAGTTAATGACACTTTGTACTGTATCTCCTTTTTTACAAGAAGCCTGATGGCACAGATAAGTTTGCTTATGAATAAGATCAGTTCTGCTCAACATTATTTTCTAATTCTTTCTTTTTATTGCACTTTTAGAGAAAATTTAGAAGACCAGTCAAGTAAGTAATCACATGGACAAATTCAGTGTTTCTCTATTATGCACTGTATTGCACCAAATTCTGATCCATTTACCTCCTGATAAAATCGCTATGCTCTTATTAGAGCTAACAGTTTCATGGGTTTCTCATAGGGTTTTTCTTCCAAGTGTCTTCTGTTAACGTCTGTTCATATCAGCACAATATAGTTTGGGGAAAAAAACGCAAGTATTGATCTTGCTCACTTCAGTGGAACTGTTTGTGAACATAATGGGCCCGAGAATTGTGCTTCAAATTGGTACCAATTTTAGCGTCTTTTCCTTTCTGTAGTTTGCCAAATCAGGTTTTGAAATTTCTGAGTACATGATTTTGGACAGCAGCTCAGTAAAACAGACATCCCCCCAGATTTTACCCTTAGGAAACACCTCCTAAGCATGTGAAACATTAGATGAAATACTTGAGGTGGACAACGTCCACCCGCGCGGAGCCTGCAGGAAGGTCTGTGCACTGCTTAAGGTTCAGTGCGAGGCTTTTGGTTTGCACCCTATGAACCGATCTTTTCTGCCAAGGGGCACATTTCGTCCGCAGCAAAGCAACAGAAGCCTTTGAATTCTCCGCTGTGTCCTCTGTGTTAGCATTCCCATCCTTTGCAGAGGTGTAAAATCTTTCATTTAATATATACTGAGCACTTATTTCCCCGAGTGAGATAGTGGAAAAAGTGTAAGTGGATATTTCTTCCGGTGGCCTAATTCTGCTGGAGAGAGAAATCTGAAATCCACTCTTCAAAACGCTGTCTCTATCTGCTTTTAACACCCCTTGCTCAACAAAGAAAAAGAGCAAATCTCCAAGCGTGGCTCCAGAAGAGGGCTCTCTAGTTTACGAGAACGTTGCAGCCTGCAGGCTGTCACTCCAGCAATTTGTTTGATTGATTCACCAATTTTCTAACAACGCTGTTACAGCAACCCTGTAACAGGGCGAAAGGAAAAACCCCAGGAAACTCTTTCACAGTTATGCTGCCAGAACACCTTGGATTTAAAGGACGTTTCACATGCTTGCTTCGTGCCGCACCAGAGCAGTCTTGGGGATGGGTCGCTGTGGGGATATGCAGACCGCTCTGGCCAAAACTGGAGGTTGAGGGCAGGAGTTCATGAGGAATTTCATGCATCTCGTTTCTCAGAAATCTTTCAAAATCTTTCAAGGTTTAAAAAAAACGTAACTGGAAAGGGAGGAACTGTAAAACTGCAAAACCTAACCTGTTGCTCAGGCTGGTGGCAGCACAAGCTGGAGATGCTCTACAGGCGAAAATTCAGGAGCTGGCCGAAGAAAATTATTTTCTCTGATGTGGAAGTCAGGCTAAAGGGAAGCCTGAACCTCTGCTCGCTCTTAAATATAAAAGCAGGATTTTTCCCCTCTCCTGATAGCTCTTTTTCCTCCTTGCTTTGTAAGGGTGTGAACAGCTTTCTCCTTCTCGAGCCACTTTAAACCTCTGATATAGTTATCTGAAATAATACCAATTAATGCTGTTTTGCTTTAGCAGATGATGCCTTTGATGAATTATTCAGCCGTGCTCCAGATAAACTGGATGCAGTAAAACAGGTAATTTAATTTTTAATTTAAAAAAAGGCCTGAAATTTGCAAGGTAAAATATAATTCATGACTTCACTGAAAAAATCCTCATTTCTTCCACCCTCTCCTTCCCATCTGTTTTCTTTAGGTATTCCTCCAATTTGTCAACCAGCATGTTGGAAAATTAGGGTTAAACGTGAAAGACATCGAATCTCAGGTAGCCTGCTCTGAGCTGTGTGTTAACATGTTTTGTCAGCTATTGGAGTGCATCCTCTCTCCATTAGGATTCTTGTTGTAGTAATTTCAAACTTGGCAACATAACAATTATTTCTAGCTCCAGGTTAAAGTCCCAGGCTTCAGCCTCTGAAGTTTCTAAAGCTAATAAGATAAGCAATGCAAAAATATAGCTTTGTATTGAAGGCTGCGTGCTCCTTGTAATGCTACAGGGAGTAATTTGAAGAACCTCTAACTCCTGTGGACTGTGTGTCCTTTGTGGGGGAAACAAGGGTGTTGGGACAATTCAACAGAAAGCTGAGCTGGTTGATGAAGTGCTCATGAGGTGCCTCAGCATCTCTTCCCTGCTCTTGACCCTGGTGGGGCTGCAGCGGCTCGGACCCATGTGAATCACGTGCTGGAGGGCCGAGGAGCCCCAGGATGTCCTGTGGGGTTTCTCCTTCCCCTGCTTCCCCAGCCCACGCTTCAGGCACTCCAAATCGTGATGCAGTGAGGGTTCCCGCGGTGCACGGCGCGCGAGTGAAGTGCTCTGCTCCAGGGCTCTGCTGGGTCTTCCTGACGGGCAGCCGTGAGAAGGGACATTTCAAATGTGTTTTGTCGTAACTCTCAGGTGCTATGCGTTTTTTTTTTTTTTTTAATTTCATAATTACATATGTGGTTGTCTGAAATCTATTCGCATCTGGAATAGCTTGCTTTAATTGTTAGCCTTTTATAAAGTCGTATTTCTCCTAATGTGACTTAAGAGCCTTATGTAACTATAAAGTTCGCTGTATAAGAGGTGGAGGAAACTGAATTTTTAGCCTGTCTAATTGCCCGTGTGCCATTTCAATTCCTTTTTGGCTAGAATGGCATTTCTCTAAGGTGATTTACTAAAGGCCTATTGATTAAATAATATCGGCATCACCCTTCTAGTTTGCAGATGGAGTTATCTTACTCCTGTTGATCGGACAACTGGAGGGTTACTTCCTGAATTTAAGGGATTTCTTCCTGACTCCAGCCAGCACTACAGAGATGGTAGGTTATTATTCAATTACTTAGGGCCTGAGGCTTCAAACATCGCCTCTCTTTGTATGCTCCTGTGTGTCAGTGAAGAGCTCTGCGTGGCTTGCTGTCGCTGCTGCCGTGTGTGAAGTCAAACGCATGCAGAGTGCCACTGCAGAGCTGCTTGTCCTGGGTTATATTCAATTAGATCTCCAAAGGCGCGAGACGCGTCAAATCCTTTTTGCTTGAGACCCGACAGAGAAGGAAACCTCTCCCCTGACACCGCTTGCGTTCCAGGGTCCCCTCACAAATGCCACTTTCTTCTAAAGCTGCCTCTCACTGCAGTTAATCTCCCTGGGCAATGTTTATGTGTAATGAAAACTCTCACAGGTTCCTTTTTAATTAAACAAAAAATGCTTAGGCAGAGCTTTTCATTAAAACATTTCAAAGCCCCATTGTCTGAGCCCTAGGTTTAAATTTTGTCAAAAGCTCACAGTTGTAAATTGGCGACCGTCAAAGGCGTTAGGCACATTTGGATTTTTAAAGTAAAATTATTCAGAACTGGAAATTATATTTTAAGGGGTCAAATCAAATAAATCAAAGCATTTCTTCTGGTTGTTCTTCCCTTCCTCCTCTTCCACTTGGTTTTCAAAATTGTTTGCTCTCGTCCACTGAATGGGAAATAAATTTTAATATTTCAAGTAATCTTTTTCAAAACAAACCAGTGAGTATTTTTTGACTTAAAACTATGTAGATAACCTTTTTGCTTTTGGATCGGCCCTGTTGAAGCCTCACAAGTCTTTTTCGGGGAAGTAGATACCCCTTCCGCTTTAGGCACGAATCAGAGCCTAACAACACCGTACATGCTGGTAATTTCATTTTAGCAAGACTTTCTTTCAAGTACTGCAGTCACTACTGAACACTTTGCCAAAGTGGTATTTACCACTTGTATCTCCTAGGATGTTCATTACAGGATAAAAAGTGGAATGACAATCTAACTAAAAATATTGAACTCCTGTAACTCAACTTTCATCTCCACGTAAAATACGCCTTTCAATTCCCACGTGTGTTCTGACTCCCTGTCATTGTAGACGTTAATTGGTACAGTAAAGTAGGGAAATGTAACCTTTGCTGAGATTTAAAACATGTCATTCCCGTTACAGAAGTGGTGACAACCGCACGTACCATTGAGATCAGTGTGGTGTATCAGCTTTCATTCAAGCTGAATGAAAGCTTGTAGTTCGAAACTGATATGTAGACGTGGTGAATCGCAAGGAGCGGAAACTCTGCTGAAAGTAGGGATACTGGAAGATTAGCCTTGCGTGCTCGCGTGTATAGTAAGGTATATAGTCCGAGAGAAAAAAAAATAATCATGAAATATGGCAGGCTGAAGCTAGGGGTGCACTTGGTGCAGTCTGGAGGTCAGGTCTGGGAGGGCCCCTGTCCTTCGCAAAACTGTGTGAGCTTGGTACTTTTGCCAAATCAGGCCCCAAGCCCGACGAACCCCAGGCTTCCCAGTCTCTATCAAGCAGTAAATCCTAAATAATTTTCCAGCACTGTTGAGTGTGGGAGTGCTGCTGGACAAAACAACTTACTTTTCTAGGTTCCTCTTCTGCGGTAATTATCAGCACTTCTGTCTGGAGATTTATTTTGAAATCTGCATGTTGTCTTTCCTTGCAACTTTCATATATTTACTGAGGGGAAAATATGACCTTTTCTCCTGTGCTGGTTCAATCAGAAAACCTTTGAGTTATTCATTCTGATCTGAAAATTGTCTAGATCTGTATGAGCTTACGCTCTGCCGTCTGCCAACTGTGAGAGGACGAAAACAAGCTCAAATTCAAACTGTCGGGCTCTGTTCCTTGTAAATCACAAAACCAGGTAAAATGGAAATCTATTGCTTCGCTTCGGAGCACACAGTTTTTTCCTGGCTTATGCACGTGGGACCCCAGTGCTTATTGTCGGAAGGTAATAAGGAACAGCACGCCAGCGTTTTATGATGTACCTCTGCAAGGATAAATTGACTGGGAGGCAAAGGGACATATGAGGAAACAACCTGAAGTTCTTGCAGGTCTTATTGCTTCATTAGAGGAAGGGAGCCTGCTAATGACCATCCAAATACACTACTGCCCTTAAGCTGGAAGCAGCTGGAAGAAATGGAGTGTTATATTATTTTTTAAAAAACATTGATTTACTGCATGTGCCTGTGATGCTGCTTTTATGCAGGCAAGAGAGCAAAAACAAGTGAGGAAAAATCAGAACCTGCCCCCACCCCCACCCTTGATTCACAGGGGTATGCTTAATTTCTCATGAATAATATTAAAGAT